ATATATATGAGGTATATATTCTTTTGTGCAGAAAAATTAAAGATTTCTGCTTTAATCTACCTTTTCGTTTAGCACTTTCTGATCTAGATCCCACTGGCGTACAAGATGTTATATGGGACTCCCAAGTTATACAGCATATCGTGGAAGTCAGGATTCCAAATGAGATCTGTCCATTCCAAAGTCATCCCGTTTCATTACCAACGATAGCCAAATTACGGAAAGAGCCCAAAGGTCTATCAACCGATCAACGGATATAGATGTATATGTATATACCATGGAATATTACCCAGCCACCAAAACCCCGAAATCTCACCATTTGCAACAACGTGGACAGAGCTAGAGTGTATCGTGCTAAGCGGAGTAAGTCAGAGAAGACAATTTCACACATGATTTCAGTCATATGTGAAACTAAAGAAAGAAATCAGATGAACACAGGGAAGGGGGAGAAAAGACAAGGAAACAAACCATAAAAGACTCTTCATGATAGGGAATATACGGGGTGGGGGGGGAACACGGTGGGGGATGGAAAGAGGTGGGCGGGGGATGGGCTGGGCGGGGGATGAGCACTAAAGAGGACACTTGTGATGAGTGCTGGGTGTCCTATGGGAGGAATCACTCAATTCTACACCTGAAACCAAAATCACACTATGTTAACCAACTCGAGTTTAAATAAAAACTTAAAAGAAGAAAAACCACAGTCATGCTGTTTCCTGCATGATACCAAACAGCTGGTATAAGGTTCTGATTCATGATTATGATTTATAATTTGCGGATAGTTATCATGAAAGTAAACACTCAACCCAAGAAATGTCCAAATTAAATCAAAGCTTTAGCAGGATGCTGTCCTGTCATGGTCTCATACACATCAGCTGCCTGAAAGCCACAGTGATCAGCCATCAAAATATTTTGTATTTGTAAATGTAAAAGTCCACAGCATGAAAACTACATTCAGGCAACCTCTGACATAAAACTCCGATTATTCTTTTCTGTCTTATTAGTACGAATTAGAAAATGACTATTAAAATAACATCAGTAGTCATTTAAATATACCATGTGTTCAAAGCTAGGAGTTAGGGGGCACCTGGGTGGCTCAGTCAGTTAAGCGTCAGACTTCAGCTCAGATCATGATCTCACAGTTCATCAGTTCGAGCCCCGTGTCAGGCTCTTTGCTGACAGCTCAGAGCCTGGAGCCTGCTTTGGATTCTGTGTCTCCCTCTCTCTGCCCATCCCCCACTCAATCTCTGTCTCTCTCAAAGTAAACAAACGTTAAAAAAAAATTCAAAGTCAGGAGTCAGAAAATGAACGCTTAGTGAATAAATGAATGGAAACCACCAGTCATCCAGAAAAAGCCAATTTTATTTCGTATCTTAAGTTTACGAAGTTGAGAAGTATTAAAATACATGAGAAAAATTTCCATTGACATAGAAGAAGTCGACCCTACAGCTCAGAATATGAAGGACTGTGTCTGTTTTCTTTGCTGGTCCGAAACTTCCAGGCCTGGGCGGCACGGGGGTAGAGATCATGCCTAATACATGCGATCCCTAAATGTTTCCTGAGCATATACGTATCTAAGGATTAATACTTGTTTGGACTTTGTACACTTTTCCTTTGCCTGTGTGCCATATTTGAGAAATATAACAAGATCTACTACGCGATAATAACATACAATCAAGACAGTCCTCTACTTTGATACCAAACAAGATAAAGATCAAGTGCCAAGCTGCTATGGTCTGAAGGTTTGTGTTCCCCCAAAATTCGTACGCTGAAATCCTAATCCCCAAAGATAATGGTATTAGGAGGGAGGTACTTATGTCACGAGGGCTGAGCCTTCAGGAACGGGGTTAGTGTTCCTGTAAGAGAGACGCCACAGAGATCCCTCAGCCCTGCCATCGTCAAGGGCACACGAAGCAGACCCCAGCTCAGAACCAGGAAGAGGGTCCTCACCAAAGTGAGCACCTTGATCTCTGACTTCTCAGCCTCTAGATCTGTGAGAAATAAATTTATGTTGTTTATAAGCCACCCAGTGTGTGGAATTCTGTTGTTACAGCAGCTTGAAAAGACTAAGGCACCAGTGAACACAGAGATGTAAGCACTGGGCACCAATGGGGCAAGTGTGACAGAAAGAGAATCTGGAAGAACACAGCACTGACTATGAAGCGGTCTTGCCCAAAGAAGTGAACCTGAACATGATCAAGCCTCTACATCCAATCAACAATTTAAAGGATAGATGAACACTGGCTGGCTCAGCAGGAGACTCCTGATGTGGGGATCAAGAGTTCAAGCCCCCAGGTTTCGCCTAGAGATTATGGAAGGAAGGAAGGGAAGGAAGGGAAGGAAGGGAAGGGAAGGGAAGGGAAGGGAAGGGAAGGGAAGGGAAGGAAGGGAAGGGAAGGGAAGGGAAGGGAAGGGGAGGGAGGGGGGAAGGGAGGAAGGGAGGGGAGAGAAGAAGGAAGGAAGCCCTGGGGTGGCTCAGTCAGGTGAGCGTCCAACTCTTGATTTCAGCTCAGGTCAGGATCCCAGGGTCGTGGGCTCCAGCCCTGCATCAGGCTGCACACGGAGCATGGAGGCTGCTTAAGATTCTCTCTCACCCTCTGCACCCCCCCCGTAAATAAACAAATAAATAAATACAATTTGAAAAAGAAAGAAAAGTGTAGTATGGGACAAGAAAAGTGAATAAAAAGACTCATTTCTAATAAAAAAAAAGAAGAAAGGATGTCAAGAGAGAAGTAATGCGTATGGGGGCGGGGCAGAATTAGCGACTGGTTAGTGGTTCTTGAGGTTGAGTGACTGGGACAGGCGAGGTCATTCTGACTGTTACTGATAAATTCGTGAAATTCTCCACAATAAGAAGTTTTTAAACAGATCGATGCATACCTATGATGCTCCGTGACTGCATGTTACTCTTGCCACGCTAGGTCTATGTCCTGATCAAGTCCCCTATTTCATGCAGTCTCAAGCAAAACAAGACAATCCTATGGGGCTGCTCTGACCGGCTCTCTTCAGGTGATTTCTGTTTCCTTGGGAAAAGTCAGAATATTTACGTGAAGAGGGAAAGAAACCGCTACAGTATTATTATGGAATAACTACCACACGGTTTATGAATCATGTACATGGATGAAAAACATTAAGTAATTTAGCACAACAGGCAGAAATCCATCACCAGAACCACACCAATTCGGTTTGCTTCTACCGCTGAGCTTAGCGTATGTTTTCATCTATACGAATTCCATCAGTATTTACCCAATGATACTGACCACCTGACATTTTTTTGTAAAATTTTTTAATGTTTATTTTTGAGAGAGAGACAGAATGTGAGCAGGGGAGGGGCAGAGAGAGAGGGAGATACAGAATCTGAAGCAGGCTTCAGGCTCTGAGCTGTCAGCACAGAGCCAGATGCAGGGCTCGAACCCATGAACCGCGAGATCATGGCCAGAGCCGAAGTCGGACGCTTAACCGACTGAGCCACCCAGGTGCCTCCTGATACTTTAATTCTAGAAATGTACAAAGAGCACTGAATTGGTAACCAAGAGGCACGGCATTGCTAGCTCTGTCTCTAACTTATGACCTGTAGGAACTCAGTTACACCACTTAATCTAACACTTAGGATCCTAAACTATAAAATGAAAGAATTCTCAAGATCTGGATTCAGAGTCATAAGCCTGAGGACTAGGGCCTATGGATGACCATCAGCAGGCTTCGAAAGCCCCAGAAATTCCCCAAGAATGTTTTGTCTACAGTTTCTACTTGCGCTTTTCTGGGGAGAGCTTCTAGTTTCCAACAGATTCTCAAAAGGAGCCAAGTCTCACCTATTTCCGGGCACTTAAGAAACATTTTAATCAGCAGGCTTAACAAACAGCAAAAGCTGATAACCCATATGGTGTATGGGTCTGGGCAACCTTTTAAATCTGGATTCTACCCTCTTCAAACTCTACCTTCACAAAATACAATGCTTCGTAGTTCTAAAGTAATAAAGATGAACTTCTTGGGGCGCCTGGGTGGCTCAGTCGGTTAAGCGTCCGACTTCGGCTCAGGTCATGATCTCACAGTTTGCGGGTTCGCGCCCCGCGACCGGCTCTGTGCTGACAGCGCAGAGCCTGGAGCCTGTTTCAGATTCTGTCTCCCTCTCTCTCTCTCAGAAATAAAAAAATAAAAATTTTAAAAAACATTAAAATAAAAAAAAAGACAAACTTCTTACAATCCCACAACTTCTTAGAAAACGGTACGTTGTGGAAATAACGTGTAAGGCTTGGGGTCGGAATGGCTTTTTTTTTCCTACTTCCCCGATTTATTCAGCTGCTGAATAGCCTGGAGGTAATTAGCCTCAGCCGCCTGTTAGCTGTGAGTTATAAAGTCCGATCCAAGAGATCATTCGAGGCCTATGGTCAGTCTCTTCCCTAGACAGACAATGACAGGAACAAGGAGGGAAAAGGCAGGCCCTCTAATTAGAAACACATTTTTAAGGCTGGGCGTGTATTTCAAGCAAGATTTGGAATGCCTTTAAAAAAGAGAGAGAGAGAGAGGGCGAGAGTTTACATTCCTCCTGGAGATTCCCACGTTATCAGTCCACACAGCACCCGAAGCCAAACCGGGAAACTGAGGCTAGGGTTTCAAGTACCTTCAACAGGCCCAAGAGGCTGGCAGAGTGGACACGGCGAACAAGTGAATCGGGGATAAAAGTTGGAGAGCGGGTCGCTATCGGCCAGGAAGCTAGGGAAGTCGGCAAGGGCGGCCTCCTGAGTCCTCGGGCTTGCGCCGCAGCTCAGCCCCTTCCCCTCTGTGGCTCAGCTCGAACCTTCCTGCCCCTTCCAGACGGTCCGAGGACCCCCGCCATTTCCACAGATGCCAACAGAAACCCCCCTCGGAGAGAGGCCGCGACTAGGGCAAGGAGGGGCGGGGGGCAATCGCTCAGGGGCTGCCCACCACCGTGGGCCAAAGTTGCCCCCAGCCCGGGAGCGCGGCCTCGGCCTGGGCCTCCGCCCCCCCGCCCGGCCCGGCCTTACCTTGAGCGCCAGGTGGTGGACGCGGCCCAGGCCGGGCTGAGCCAGCAGCGGCACCAGCCCCAGCAGCGACAGCAGCCGGAGGCCGGCGGCCAGCGGAGGACAGCGGGAGCCCGAGGGGCCGACCGGCGCCGGGGCGGCCATGTTTGTTCCAGCATCACCAGCCGCTTCCTCTCCCGCCCACTTCCGGGGTCAAAGGGCGGCGGCCCCCGGAAGTGGGCCTGGGTGCGGAGCTCGGAGGCCGGCGGCGGGGTGCTCGAGGGCCTTTTACCTGGAAGCGTGCGGCCGGGGAGGTCGCCGAGGGGCTGCGAGGGGCCACTTTGGGGGCGGTTCAGTTGGCCTCTCCTATGCCGACTTTCGGTTTAGCCGGAAGAGGTGGGGTTCCCTCCGCCCCGTTGAGAAATCTGGGGCGGTTGCCGTGGCAACAGTCCCAGACCGGAAACCAACCCCCCCCCCACCCCGGGGCCTCACCTTCGCCCCGCAGAGTTTTGAAAGCCACCTTGGGCCTGCGGGACCGCGACCGCGGGGGGATCCGGGTTCTCTGCGGGCGGGAAGTCTTACTCTGTGGCTGCAGCACCGTGCCCCGCCGGCGATCGGACTGATTTCGGGAGCGGCGTGGACTCGGTGGAAAATACCAAGTTCCTGGCTTGTCACGGGTCCCTTGGTTTTTTTTGAGAGGCGCCTCACACTAAAGTTGCAGAGGGAATGTTGGCTGTAATACGATTTATTGAGCCCTTCTCAGGTGCTTAGGCCTTTTGTGTGCATTATTGCGTTTAATGCCTGCAGCAGTGTGGTGAGGTAGGTAGGTATGATCCTTATCCCCACTTTACAGGTAAGCAAACTGAGGCTCTGAGAAATTAAGCCATTGGTTCCAGGTTGAGCTGAGAATCACCTGGAAACTTGCAAGTACTGTGGTATATTGCCTCCATCTGTTTCACCGACCTCTAGAGTCTGAGTCTCAACGTTTTTCTCTGAATTCTGTGTGGAAACTATTTGCTTCTAATTTGTGGGGTTTATAGGGAGAGCTTCAATAGAGAATTCAGTAGTTGGTTCCCTCTCACCATTTTTTATCAAGAAGTTATAAGGGATCAGGGCGCCCGGATGGCTCAGTCGGTTAAGCGCTCGACTTCGGCGTAGCTCAGGGTTGGTGAGTTCAAGCCCCGAGGAGGGCTCTGTGCTGACAGCTCCGGGCCTGGAGCCTGTTTCCGATTCTGAGTCTCCCTCTCTCTCTGCTCCTCCCCAGCTTGCAGTCTGTCTGGCTCTCTCTCAATAAATAAACATTAAAAAAATTAAAAACTTATAGAGGAACATGCTTATGAGAATTGCCAATAGGCTAGCCAAGATTAGTTTTTAGATTCATTTGTAGCTTGCTGTGCAAGCAATGCACGCTATTTGTGTGGAACCATGTAAGTAAAAGAGGAGAAAGTAAAAACCACCAGGAATCCCACTAGGGAGTGATTATCATTATTCTAGTATATTTGATGACAGACTCCGATTTTTTAAAGTTTTAACTGGAAGTAGGAACTGAAATTAACATGGTCTGTTTTAATGGGCTGCACTCAGGTTAAAAAAAAAAACTCAGCTGGTAAAATACAGACTAGGAGGGATGAAGGGGGTGGGAGAAAGGAAGAAAGGGAAGGTCCTAGATTTTTCTAGCTGTGTGCGATTTTGGTAAAATCATGAATCTAAAGATTCCTCCCTTGAATGAACAACCGGTACAAATTCTGTCGCACTCTCTGTAAGGACGAAAGTAGGACACTAAGGTGGGGCAGGAAGATAGAGGCACTGTTTACTAGTTGCTGAAGCCTATCTCTTCTTTCTCCAACCTCTGATCTTTGGTCATCTATTACAAATATGTCATTTTCCATCTTTGAACAGAATTTTGATCTTACTATCCCATTTTACAGATAAAGAAACTGGGCACAAGAAACTATTATTTTGGGAATCCACGCAGGGAGATAATAATAGGTAAATTTATTTATCGAGTGATTAAATTCGCCAAATTTGTCTCAGTACTTTATATATGCATTATTTCATTTAACGTCACATCAGCCTTATAAAGGTATATATTTTGGTTCCGTTTTTAAAAGATGAGACTGGGTTAAATTACTGTATTCAAAGGCGTCTCCTCATTCATAAATAACGCAGATGGAACTCTCATTCAGGACCCAACCACAATGGTACTTCTAGCACTATATACCATACACGGTTTCCTCATTATTATCATTTTAATATTTCAAAAGGTTAAAAGCCCAGAGTATAAGTAACCAATGTGTTATCAAATAAAATGCTAGAACAATGTTCAGAAAGTATTTTAAAAATCAGCAAGATGAAAGAACATAGTAAGACTATAAAATAGGGGCGCCTAGGTGGCGCAGTCGGTTAAGTGTCCGACCTCGGCTCAGGTCATGATCTCATGGTTCGTGGGTTCGAGCCCCGCGTTGGGCTCTGTGCTGACAGCTCAGAGTCCGGAGCCTGCTTCAGATTCTGTGTCTCCCCCTCTCTCTGCCCCTCCCCTGCTCGCGCTGTCTCTTTCGCTCTCAGAAATAAATTTTTTTAAAAATTAAAAAAAAATTTTTTAATAATATAAAATAAATGATACTTTCTTTTTGGTCTCAAGAGGAGACTTCAGAGATGGTTAACTGAGTCTCATGTCAATATGAAACAAGCCATTCAAGGAAAAGGTGGTTTTTAATTGCAGTTTCGCTTTTAAAGGCAGTCTGCAATGCAAGTATGAGCCGGGGAGGGGTAGAGAGAGAGGGAGACACAGAATCAGAAGCAGCTCCAGGCTCGGAGCTGTCAGCACAGAGCCCGACTGGGGACTCAAACTCACGAAGCATGAGATTATGACCTGAGCCAAAGTCAGACGCTCAACTGACAGAACCACCCAAGTGCCTCTGGTTTTTATACTTTTTAAAGTGAGGTACCATTTTTGAGAGTCTCTGGTTTTCGATTTGAACATACTAACAGTCTTCTAAAAATGGAATGATCAGGAAAAGCCTTGATTTCATTAAGTGATATAATAGTCGTGAAACATGCAAATGGTTTATAAAATAGAAAGCTTTTGTTTTTCTTCGGTTGATGGGGAACAGTTTTATAAGGGCTTAAAGTTGGATTCTTACTCTTTGCTTCTTTCCCCTTGGGAATTATTATGTGACCTTCACCAGGTCACATACCATTGGTATCTGTCCAGAAGTTTATAAGGAGCATCTTCCTTCAGGTATTTGGGAATTATATAGTGCTAGTCCTTAGTTTAAAATTGAGAGAATTAAGAAAGGGAACGCTAATTACTAAGACTTACAAGTGAAGTGTTTTGCTTTTTTTTTTTTTTTTAAGACAATTACTTTTCAAATTCGGTGAAAACTGCTATCTTGGTGATCCTATTTAGGCGCATAATTTCAGAGTTTCAAGGAAAGACTATTTGCATAATCATGATGCTGTAACTGGGAACAGACATGTTGAGTAACAGAACGAGTTATGCCTGCTTCTCCCTGGCAGCATTTTCAAAGGGACATTCAACTTTAAGGTATCGACTGAAAAAGCCTGGAGGAGCTGGAAAGACTGATCTCCCAAACCTGGCTTTTAACCTTGTTCTCTTAGTCAAGCCTATTTTGTTTTTCCATTTCCTCTAACTTTGCAGGATCCACGAAAGTTTGCTACTAGTAGCTGAATTTCTATTTTGAGCCTAGTACTATTCATAATCCCTGGTTATCAGTTTAGAAATTTCCAGAAGTCTTATAGAAATTAGCCGGTTAATGTTCTCCAGTTGTAATCAGGTTTAATTGCCATTTGTTCTTCTTATCAAAAGAGTTGATATTGAAGACCCCGACCTCTATAAATACATTCAGAAGTCAAATGTCACTTTCATTCTTTGACTTGAAGCTTCGTTTCTTGGGGCACTGGGGAAGCCCATCAGGGGTTCCTACAGAGAGCGGGGTCTTCTTGGAAAAACGAGGCCCCGACGCGTCTTAAATCCCGTGGTTTGGAGGAAGACGTCAAACCCACTTCTCAGCCTGGTGGCCCGGTGTGTAACTTGCTCCATCCTAGGACAAGTTTTTCCTGATTTCGCGCACATTTTCGTAGACCTCCGGGGGAATTCCACAATCAGGTGCAAAAATCGGTTGCCTTTTTCAGATTTGACTCACCAGAGAGTTGCGACTTTTATCCCACTCCAGCTTCTTCCACTTGACTGCTTTCTTGTGTCCTTAGTGAGAAGTTTGGATGCCAAACAAATGGAGAATTTTAAGCTGGAAACCGAGAGAAGCTATTTTAAAGGGGAAAAAAAAAGTAATCCCAAGAAGTTCATTATGAATAGTGGTACTTTAGCAACAGACAACCAATCAATTATAGTTCAGCCAGTCTGCTTTGCTGCATCAGAAGTGCTTAAAGCATTGCTTTCCTTCATGCAATAAGTAAAACTCCTTCAGGAAACAAGAAGAAGCAAAGGGCCCGATAGCCGTGCCCTGGTGTGCTAAGCATTTGCCACATATTCTTTAACCTTCAAAGTACTACTACGAATCTTTGTGACTTTGGAGTAAGTAGCAGTATGTCCATTTTCTAGAGTAGGAAACTGAGGTTTAGAGAAGGAAAATGATACAACCATAGCTCTACAGCCATCTGCGCAGGGCGATCCCAATCTGGCGAACCCCGAAGCCTGGGTGCACAGTCAGCCCCCTCATTCAGCCTCGTAAAACCTGTGGGGTCCCTGTTTGACCAATGAGGAAACTGAAACTCAGTTTAAGTTAACTTGGGAAGGCCATGCGCATGGCGGAAATTTACAGTCACCCACCAGGATCCTAACTTTGTCAATCAGTGCTCTTCAGAGAGGTGAAAAGGATGTGCTTAACCCAGATGGACCTTCTCTGTAATTCAAGCATTTACAATAGGGTTTAGAATACCTTCTGTGAAAATTGGTGCCTAAATAGGTCAGGTCACCCTAATGTGTCAATAGTGAGAAATCTTTGTCTTAGAATTATTTTCTTACTATATATAAGAGAAGCTGGAGTGGATTTAGTTCTTCCTTGAGAATACTGTGCTGTATTTCTCTTTTTCCTGCTGGCTTCTCTGTATCCTGAACTGTGTTTGTTTCCCTTGCTCTGAGACCAGGAGTGCCTTTTTCCTTTATTTTTCTTTTTAAGATTCTGACATTTTCGCAACTTTTCCAGGTACCGCCCAAACTGAACAAACTTCAAGATATTTTGCCGTGTGGTCTAAATAACGTGGTTCCATATAGTTCTTCTATTGTGGCTTCTAATGGGTTCCTATAACCATTTCCTGCTTACTCATCTTAAAAGGTTTCACCGTCATGTGGTCTTTTCTTCTTCTTCTGTCCCTTCCTCTTCTTTTCCTTCTAAAGCAGCAGGTGGTTGTTTTTTTTTTCTCCTATTAGCATATTTTCACAAATGGCCAGTCTGTTTTTGAGAAGTCTCCCAAGAACTCAGTCAAGATCAGATCATTGTATTTGACTGGAAAAACATTCCAAGCCTTGGCAGGAGGGAAAAATGAGTTGATTACTGAGCAAGCGTCTTGTTAGCTAATCTGTATTTCCTTTACCATTTCCAAATAGCAAACTAAATTTTGCAGCATCGTTTGAAATTCTAAGCCCTCCGATTCACTCTGGCTCTTAATCTGTCTTGGGAGTAAGAGACTGGCCATCCTGATTGTTGCATATCTAGCAGGCTCTGGAGTCAACAGTTCCCAGAGCTGGTAACTGGGACAGAAAACTTTTAAATGCGCACACTAAAGATGAATGAGTAAGGGGAGCTTGTAACTGAAAAAAAAAAAAAAACAAAACCCAGCTTAGTTTCCGTTGTAGCTCTGTCCTACAAAGGAAGTAGACTCTCCTAGATTTATCTGCAAGGGTTTTCAGCTCCACCCTTCACGGAGGAGAATGATAAAATTGCTGCTGCTGCTGCTGGTGGGGTGGTAGGTAGTGGAGAGGTGCATTAATGTGCAGTATTTCTAAAATAGGGCCCATTTTTGTTCACAGCTACTCAGGAGTCGGTAATATTAGATGAGAGAAAGTTGGGGAGGAAAGGACGTAGTGATTCAGAGGAAAGAGCTGGAACTCCAAAATTCAGCATAGCTTGTTGGAAATATTTGTGTAGACCTTTGAAACACAAAAGGGGAGTAGCCACTTAAAAATCATCTCTGGGGGCACCTGGCTGGCTCAGCCTTTGAGACTTCATCCCGGGTTCTGAGTTCCAGACCCACCTTGGGTGTAGGGATTACGTAGAATCTTTTTTTTTTTAATCTTTTTAAATTTTTTTTACATAGTGCTGAGAGAGAGAGAGGTGCAGCGTGAGCAGGGGAGGGTCAGAGAGAGGGAGGGAGACACAGAATCCTAAGCAGGCCCCAGGCTCTGAGCTGTCAGCACAGAGCCCAACGCGGGGCTCGACTCCTCGACCTGTGAGATCATGACCTGAGCCGAAGCCGGACGCTCAACCGACTGAGCCCCCCAGGCGCCCCTACCTAAAGTCTTAGAAAGAAGAAATCAGCTCTCAGTGGGCGGGTAACGGGCGCTTATCTCCCTGTTCCTCGCCAGCACTGGGTGAGATGGAGACTTAACAACTTCCATTTGGGAGGCGGGGGCCCTGAGCTTCCAGAGAGGCGGAGTCACTGTCTGGGGCCACCCAGCTAGTGTGTGCGGGAGGCCGGGTTGACACGTTATCTGCGGACCCAACCCCTTTGCTATTACCCACTAAGCCGCAACGCTATTTCACGTCTGAGCGTTTCTTGGCCAAACAGGTTGGGAACCCCGGTTCCAGAGATTAGAAATCACTGGTTGTGCGCCCCTGGGTTCCTTCCCCAGCCCCTCAGAGCTGCTGGGTCGCTCGTGGCCTCGACGGACCCCCTGTATCCTGCACAGGCACCTCCACACCAGGCCCCACTCCCACCGTGCAAGGCTGCAGGGCCGTGGGAAAGGCGCATCCCCAGCGAACCCTGGTCGGCGCGAAAGGCTGCAGGGGAGAGTCCTTCCGTCCAAACTGGCGCCCGGCGCGGCGGGGCAGCCCCCGGCCTCGGGAGAGCGCCAGTAATAACAGGCCGGCCGCGTTCAAAGGCGAGAGCTGCTTCCGAGAGCACAAAATGCGGTCGCTGGTGAGAAATAAGAGAGGTCGGCGGGGCGAATCCTCCGGGCTCCCGATCCCGCCCGCCCTCTGCGTCCTGGACCCCCGGCGGCGGAGGCCCGGCCGAGGGCGCCCGGCGGGAAGGTGGGCCGGGGGCGGGGGCGGGGCGCGCGCGTGCGCGAGCTGTCAGGCCGGGCCCGCCCCCCGGCGCGCCCCGCCCCCGCCCGCAGCCCCTCCCCGCTTCCCCCTCCCCTGGCTCTCCCGGTGTGGGGCGGGCGGGCGCTGCGGCGGCCGCGGCGGCTGCTTCCTCGGGCCATTTTGCTGAGGAGCCACGGGGAGGAGGAGCTGCCGAGGCGACCCCAGGCGAGGAGCGGCGAGCCGGAGGAGGCGGCGGCCGCGCGCGCACCGGGCTTTCCTCGATCGCGGGGATCTCGAGGGGCGAAGGGATCGCCGGGGAGGGGGACCGGAGAGCCGCGCCCGCTGCGCGGCGCGCCCCTTCCCGCCCCCTGCACCATGAGCTGGGGCACCGAGCTCTGGGTGAGTGAGGGACCGGGCCCGCCGGGCTGGGGGAGGGTGGGGGTTGGGGAGGGGGAAGGAAGGTGCCTGGCGCGCCTGAGCGGGGGCAGCGGGCCGAGCTGCTCCGGGGAAGGCGACGGCGCGCTGGTCCGGGTCCCCGCGGCCTGGGGAGCGGACGCGCGGCTCGGTGCCCCTCGTCGGCCTTGGCCCGAGCAGGAGGTGCGAGCCAGATTCGCCCTTCCCAGACGAGGGGAGCTGGCGTGGGTCCTCGGCCTCCTGAGGAGAGGGCACGGATCCGGGTCCCCTCGGCGGCTTGAGCAGGGGGTGCGGATCTGCGCCTCCCCAGCGGCCTGAGCAGAGGTCCGGATCTGGGTGCCCCCAGCGGCCCGGGCAGGGAGCACGAACCTGTGCGCCCCCCCTCGCCCTGGTGCTTGGGAACGGGGTGCGGATCCGAGTCCCCCCCGCGGCTGTGTCGGCGGGGGGCGAGGGCCGGCCTCCCTGACCCCCGTGTCCCGAGGCCAGCGTGGTGTGTGGAAAGAGCAGCCTTAATCCCTCGCGGCGAGTAACCGATGCGCGGCAGACCGCCTTCGAGGGGGGCGTGGAGGCCCTCGGGTTTTCGGGGCTGCGTTCTTCTTTCCGGCGCCCCAGCCGCCAGTCCCCAGGGCTGGTTCTCCCAGTGGAGGTGCGGGCGGATCTGGCGCTCCTCTCGGGGGCGGGGCGGCCTCGGCCCGGCCGGGTCCCAGGTCTCGCGTTTTGGGGTACGGGGGGGGCGACAAGTGGCGTGCCTTCCTCTATAGAGCCGAGGACTTTTGACCTGGGCCGGCGCGGGGCGCACTTGTAGTTATCGAGCCGCCTCTCAGACCCGGGGTTGGCCGTGGGGACTGCGGCGTCTGGCCTGGAGGGGAAAGGAGCTGGGGGGGGGGGGGGGGGGGGGGGGGGGGGGGGGGGGGAAGAGATGCTGTGTGATCACCTCCGGGAAGAGGCATTCGCGGGGGAAACCGTTCTTTGAACTGCTCGGAGGAAACCGTTTCAAACGCGGAAGGTTGGGGCGAGGGGCGCCGTCCGAGGTCCTCGGGCTGGGGCTGCGGGTGGGTACACAGGCGGCGCGGTGCCTGGGAGCCGCGTCCCCGGAGCGGGGCTGGCGGGGGTGCGGAGGCGGCGCGCAGGCCGTCCCCGGGCAGCAGAGGCCGCGGCCGGTGGGACGGAGCTGGCTTCCCCGCCTTCCTCCGGACGCCTGGGGAAATCACTGGGCAGGGGGTGGGCAGTGCGGTGCCCGGGGTGGGGGGTGGCGATGGAGGGAGAAGCGGATGAAATCTCCACCATCGCACCGAAATGTTCTCAAGAGGAGACGTTTCTCATGGTGAACTAACTCCAAAGTGCCTCCTTTCCGAATTCCATTTGTCAAGGGTGTGGAGGGGAAAGTGCGGGGTGGTGGTTGCTCTCTGAGCCGAGGCCAAGAAATCCCTTGTCAAAATAAAACAAGGTTAGAGCAGCTATAGAAACGGAGCGCATCCTCCCTTAATTTTTTTTTCTTTTTTTGGCTTTAATTGTTTTTACATAACCATTTCTTGGGCTCAGAAGCAGCTACTGTTACTGATAGCAAAATCCGGAACGCAACAGCTCCCTTAAATGAGCGTGATTCATTTTATAAACATCCTCTGTCTAAACGGGCTCAGAATTTCGGCCGATGTTTACAAATACTCATTTTAAAAATAAAATAACTGATGGCTTTAGATACTTGCACGTCCCTACCTAGGCAAAACCCACCCTGTTCAGTGCAGCGTTTCTTTCCTTTCCCACTACTGATTTTCCACTCCTTTGGGCCCGTCTGAAGCTTATCTAGGGTGGACGCAACAAATCAGAAGTAAATTTTATCAAAGCAATAGACATCCTGGCACGATTTCTTTTTTCACTTGTTCAAACGAGAAACGGATCAACGGAGAGGAAAATGCAAGTTATTTTTTGGTGAAATAGGCCGGTTAAAGGAACTGAACATAGTATGGCCGGTTCAGTGATGTTAGTGCATGTCGTAAAAAGGTAGCTATGGAAGGAAAATGGTAGATTAGCTCCAATCACCTCCATTGTTCTGTATATTTCTTTTAGGGGGTGGGGATGGGAAAGACAATTTTGTTGCAAATAAATAGGCCCTGGAATATGTATGATATGAAGTCTTGATTTGCTTCAAAGCAAATTGGAGTGGTGGTGGGTAGGGGTGTTGATGAGACAGAAGTAGTCATGAATTGGCAACTTGAAGCTTGGTAATGGGCATAGAAGGGCTCACGATACTATTCATTCTACTGTGTATGCTTGAAATTTTCTATCATGAAAGCAATTGGAAAAGATTTTTAAGAGGGGTGTGTGTACTACTTGAATTTTTTTTTTTTTTTGGCGTGGTAAATTTACAAGGAAGAACCCATCAGTTAGCGTTTTACATGTGCACGTGTATGTTGCTGAAGAGTTACCCCCCCCCCAAAAAAAATCCATTCCACTAGAGCGGGGGCCTTTGTCCTTGAGTGGCTTAGAGTTTGTTCAATAGGGGGGAAAGAATAAACACGTATTTGCACTAATAAGAGAAGTGAGTTATTGAAGTTTTAAGGTGAAATGCCCAGGGGTACAAGGGTGACAAAATGTCTCCTTTCGGTTGCTTTATTAGTATGTGAGATTTCTAGAAACTTTGGAATAATGAAGGATTCTGAAAAAGAACCCTCCAGTCCTTCAGGGGCAAGAGACTGGGTGAAGAAGTCTTGGGCAGTGCCCGGCAGCTGGGCACAGAGCAGCCATTGAGGGTTTTCCTTGAATGGTGGCTTGAACTCCTGCATATGGGTAATAAGGTAACGATGAGGTGGGTGCAGAAGCCTAAGTTGTCAGAATTATGTTCTAGGTGCGGGGAGACGCCGCTATGGTTTGGGTGGCTGTGAGTTATTTGTACCCGGTGGTTACAGCTTTCACAGACCTTCACAAATAGCACCAGGGTTCTCACACATTTTAGGACTTGAGTCAGGATCCACACTGGCTTTTAGAACCCACGACTTTCTAATGGGTCCTTTACACTCAAGGACTGGCCTCAAGGCACGTCTTCCTTTTAGGTGGAGCAAAACCTTTCTCTCTCTTCTTTTTTTGTTTAAACATCTCTATAGGAGTAAACTTTCATATTCCAGGAAACTTTGAGAAATCGGGACATGTTCAGGATGTGATCACACCACTATAAAAATGAACTCAAACCCATAATTTGTAATAACTTTATTGGATTCGTTTGTCTTTAAGTTGGGACTTTCTATTTTTGTATCAGAAGGTCATAACAAGATATAAATGGCTGTTTTAAGTGGTTTGGATATAATTAAATTGTTTCTGTACAACTCTTCATACTAGCCTCCTTTATTTATATTATTTAAATTTAAAAAATTTTTAAGTAAATTCCACGCCACAAATGGGGCTTGAACTTAGGATCCTGAGATCAAGAGTTGGGTGTTCTACCCATTGAGCCAGTCGGGTGCCCCCTCCCATACTATCCCTTTTAATAAATTTTTTTGAGGGGTGGGAGGGGGCAGAGGGTGAGAGAGAATCTTAAGCAGGCTTCACATTCAGCGCAGAGCCTGACACAGGGCTGGATCCCACAACTCTGGGATCATGACCTGAGCCAAAATCAAGACGCTCAACAGACTGAGCCACCCAGATGCCCCTCCCTTTAAATCAATTTTTAATTTTTTATTGAATAGCCACTGCGTTGAAGACACTGGTCTAACTCATATACATTGAAGGATACCTACTTGTATCAGTGACAGCGTTAAAGTTGTTTTTAACTCTAGTCTGCCAGATCAGAGTCTAAAGAGAGATTAATGTTCTTAAGATTAACCAAAATGTGTTTACTGAAGACTTTGTCACAAAAGGTAATGTTAAAGGGTAAATAGATTGCCCTAATTTGTTGACATTGCGACTGGTCATTGGAGAAATGGCCAAGCAAGAATTTCTTAACATTTGAATGGTTTTTTTTTTTTTTTTTTTGTCACTCAGTAGAGGGAAGTGACAAGTTACTGAAGTATCACTTCAGATTTTTGTTTGCTTGCTCATTAATGCAAAGTATGAATACACCCGCTGGAAATTTTAGCTTTCCTCATAATGATTCTACTCCATGCCGCTAACAGATGACTAAGTGACAGAACCTACTTTTGTTATCTCTGTGCCCTTTCTGCCATCTTCATTTCTTTACTTCATTCCTTTGCTGATAAGAAATGGACTAGCCCAGTTGCGCCTGGGTGACTCAGTCCGTTGGGCAGCCGACTTCAGCTCAGGCCATGATTTCATGGTTTGCGGGTTCGAGCCCCGCATTGGGCTCTGTGCTGACAGCTCAGAGCCCGGAGCCTGCTTTGGATTCTATATCTCTCTCTTTCTCTGCTGCTCTGTCTCTCTCTGTCTCTCAAAAATAAATAAAAATGTTAAGAAAGAAAGAAAGAAAGAAAGAAATGGACTAGCCTAAAATGCCAAAAGCAAGAAAACGAGCAGGGAGATCAGAATAATACATGTTGGTTAACATAGTATCCCCTGTATGGATTGTATGCAATTTTTTTAAACATTTATTTATTTTTGACAGAGCACTAGTGGGGGAGGGGCAGAGAGAGAGGGAGACACAGGATCCCAAGCAGGCTTCAGGCTCTGAGCTGTCAGCACAGAGCCCGGCGCAGGGCTCGAACTCACGAACTGAGGGATCATGACCTGAGCTGAGGTTGACCTGAGCTGCGGTCAGACGCTTAACCAACTGAGCCACTCAAGTGCCCCCCTTTTTTACTTTTAAAGTAAGGCTTGAAGATCCCTCTCTTCTCTGTGGTCATGCTGTTTATGCCTGCTATGCATGTGTGTGTTTATTAGAAGAATACTTTCCATTGCGTTAAAATTGTGAACTAGGCAGTACCGATTCCTTCTTCATCTTGAAGTAATTGACTTTGTAAGTTACAGGTTTGGGAGAATGATTACCTCTCCTGACTGCAGAATGCTAAATGTGGGGCTGTATTAACACGCATAGATCC